GAGGGAATGCATTGGAATGTAAGGGAGGCTTGGGAGGGAAATTTGCAATGCACCTGTGCAGATGGGAAGCCTGAGACAGACCCAACACCTCAAGGTCACCAGTTGGGGAATTCTGAGACAGACAGATCCTTCCCAAAATGAAGAGAGTGCAAATGATTGGTGGACGGTGGATGGTGAACAATGGGAGGTCCAAGGGAAAAAGGGAAAGTTTTCCTGTGCTGTTTTCGCGTGAAATTGTTAGAACTTTTCTACTTCTGTACCCACACGGAATCTCAGGTAAAGTTATAGTCTTGGTAAAAAAATGCCCCAGGAGTTTCTTTTGCTGTCTTAACCTAGTTGGATGGCTGGCATTAGCGATAAAATCAGGGTTAATGCAGAGGACGGGGAAGATGTTACGGAAGAACAGTCAGAAAATCCACCCCCTAACTTTCTAACTTCTCCATTTCCTGGAGAAGGAAATGGCAAACCACTCCAGTATCTTTGCCATGAAAACCCCATGGACAGTACTAAAAGGCAAAAAGATATGACACTGGAAGATGAGCCCCTCAGGTCGGAAGGTGTTCAATATGCTACTGGGGAAGAGCAGAGGGCTAGTACTAGTAGCGCCAGAAAGAATGAAGCAACTGGGCCAAAGCCGAAAGGACGCTTAGCTGTGGATATATCTGGTGGTGAAAGGAAAGTCCGATGCTGTAAAGATTTTTTCTCCATAGGAACCTGAATGTATGGCTGTGAAAGCTGGACCATAAGAAAGGCTGAGCGCCAAAGAATTGAGGCCTTTGAACTATGGTGCTGGAGAAGACTCCTGCGAGTCCCCTGGACTGCAAGGTGTTCAAACTGGTCAGTCCTGGAGGAGATCAACCCCGACTGCTCTTTAGAAGGCCAGATCCTGAAGTTGAAACTCAAATACTTTGGCCACCGAATGAGAAGGAAGGACTCAGTGGAGAAGAGCCTAATGCTGGGAAAGATGGAGGGCAATAGAAGAAGGGGACGACAGAGAATGAGATGGCTGGATGGAGTCACTGAAGCAGTAGATGTGAGCTTAAATGGACTCCAGAAAATGGTAGAGGACAGGAAGACCTGGAGGAATGTTGTCCATGGGGTCGCGATGGGTCGGACACGACTTCGCAATTAACAACAACAACAACTTCCTAGATAGCTTGGTACATTCCTGGCTTCCAGACATTGAGGCTAGGAAGGAAGAGATGGCCAACATCAACTTCTCATTTTCCCAGAATCCTCCCTGTTTTCAATCTCACCGACCCCCAAAAATGGAAGAAATATTTTAGAGCTGTTTCCTCACCTTTGTGTTCATTAACTGCAGAGCAAAGGGGAAAAAAAACACATTAAAAAGGGGACATATGTTTTTGCAGCTCCTCTCTTGGCTCAAGGCTTGTTTTCTACATGTACAGTGGATATAAAAAGTCTACACACCCCCGTTAAAATGCCAGGCTTTAAGAAGCAAAAAAAAAAAAGATCAAAATAAATCACTTTAAAAAAATTTTCCCCACCTTTAATATAACATACGAGTTGCACAACTCAATTGAAAAACTAAATCTTCTAGAGGGAAAACTAACAAATGAAAAATTTACAATAACGTGGGTTGCATAAAGATGCACCCTTAAGCTAACGCTTCGTGGAAGCCCCTTTTGGTTTTATGACAGCATGCAATCTTTCGGGATAGCCACATCCTGCCTTGGGAATCTTTGCCCGCTCTTCCTCGCAAAAAGTGCTCCTAATCTGTCAGATTGTTCGGGCATCTCCTGTGCCAGGCCCCTCTTCAAGTTACTCCGCACATTTTTAATTGGGTTCGGATCCGAGCCGTTCCAAAACGTGGATCCTTCTTCTGGTGAAGCCATTCTTTTATTGATTTGGAGGTATGCTTTGGGTCATTGTGTTGGAAGGTAAAAATTTGTCTTCATTTTATAGCCTTGTAGCAGAGTCCTGAAGGGTAGGTTTGCCAAAAATAGGCTGACATTTGGAACGGTTCACAATTCCCTCCACGTTGACTAAAGCCCCCAGTTCCAGCTGAAGAAAAGCAGCCCCAGAGCATAATGCGGCCATCACCACGCTTTGGGTAATGCGCAGTGTTGTTTTTGCGCCGATCATATATTTTTTTTGCAATTACGGCCAAAAGGTTCAGCCTTGCTCCCATCAGAACTTAACATTTTTTTCCCACATGCTTTTGTCAGACTAAATGTAGATTTTTTGCAAAATATAGCCAGGCTTAGATGGGGGATTTGTTTTTATTTATTTTTTGTAAGAAAAAGGCTTCCATCTTGCCATCCTACCCCACAGTCCAGACGTATGAAGAATACGGGGAGATTGTCACGAATGAAAGCGAACATACGTGTCCCAGGGTTAATGTTGCAGGATCCAATCTGGGTCGGCCACCGGGACCAGAAGTTTTATTTTCCATCCAAGGCTTTTGGATTCATGCTGGAGCCCATCTTCAGGGACCTTCTCTCTAGGAGTGTGTGTGCTTTGGGCTGTTCTGTGTGTGGTATTTATATGGTGCCTGTGGTATGTGGCTTTTTAGATGCCGATTGGGATGTTGATGTTGATTTCAAAACAGGAGATTGTCTTCACACGTAGTACCCAACCAGTACTTGCCAGAAATTCCTTCAGCTCCTTTTAATGTTGCTGTAATTCTCTTGGCAGCCTCTCAGATTAGTTTTCCCTTTTTCATCCATTTTGAAAGGACTTCCAGTTCTTGGTAATGTCCCTGTTGTACCATATTTTCTCCACTGTTGAAGACTGTCTTCACTGTGTTCCATGGTACATCCAACGCCTTCAAAAAGTTTTTGACTTTGTTTCTTGACTGATACCTTCCGACAAAAGATTCCTCCGTGGCTTTGTAAGCTCTTTGCAGGCTGCGGCCTTAGCTGTAAGAGGTAACTGAGTAAAAACCGTCAGAAAAATCCTATTAGAACAGCTGAATATTAATGGGCTTGATCAGAGTCACTTTAATTGATGGCAGGCATGTACTGACTGCTATTTAAGCTCCACTTGAATGCGGGTTACTTCTGAACATAGCCACATCCCTACCTATAAAAGGGTGTGAACACTAACAGCCACATTATTCTAGTTTTTTTAATTTTCATTTCCCCCCCCCCACTAAATAATTTTTGAATTGTACAGCTTATATGTAATATTAAAGGTGAGGGAAAAACAATTCTGAAATGATTAATCTTAGTCTGATTTTTTTTACATCTCAAAAATCTGGCATTTTAACAGGGGATGCAGACTTTCTACATTCAGTATATATGTTGCTCTTTCCATCACACCCATTTGATATTGACATAAACATATCCCAGCTTATTCCTTCCTATTTGCCTATAAGATCCTTTCTTTCCAGTGGATCCAGACCCTTCTCTTCCCTATTTTCCCACATGCATGGGGGAGGGGGGGGAAACACCCCATCCTCCAGAACATAAACAGAACACCCCCTGGAGCAGTTCAGACATGCAAACTACATGCTTGCTGGATGCAGGAAGCTTTAAATAAGGACTTTGTACGGGTGAAAAGATTCACTTAGAGACCAGATGTCACCACCTTGTATTTCTTCCATATCCCCATGTTTTGCAGTGAGACCACTACTCAAGTCTGCAGCCCACGCATGTGTGAATTATGTGAGAATGGTTTTTTTTCTCCCCAAAATACAACATACTCCTAAAATTCTCTCTTGCACACACTTTTTGGCAAGTATGTCTCTCCTGATACCCATTTTGTACAGCACTGCCTCATATACAGAGGGACAGATGACAGAAATTAAGAAGAGGGACTTTGGAAGTTCACGCCATCTACTCCTGCATTCTGCTTCCCATCATCCACTAAACACGAGCTACATGACATCTCATTCCATAAGTCCCCAAACATTACAGAATTGCAGTGCTGATGTAAGAGCAAGGGTGGGCAATTATGGCCCCTTTATGACCCATGGATTTCAACTTCCAACATGTCTGGCTCAGGAATTCTGGGAGGTGAAGTCCATAAGTCACAAGAGGGCCATTGTTCCCTCTCAGAGCAGCTAGTCTGGGCAGTTACAAGAGCCCAAGTATCCTGGCAGTACTCTTGGACTGGGTTCAGTTTGCACAATGAACTAGATTAGGCTACAGAGGGGCTACAGACATCCTCAACTTACAACCGGTCGCTTAGCAACCAGTTAAGACAGGCCTACCTTGTGACTACTGACAACCTGGATTCAAAGCGCTGATGGTTGCTTCCCCCCCTGCAGTCACGTGACCAAATATTGGCAGCTTGGCAACACGGTCACATTTACAGCTATTTGTACTGTCCCACAGTCATGTGGCCACATTTTACACGAGTTATGCTGAAAACTGGCATTTGCTTCCGGTTTTCGGCAAAACAGGGCTCACAGTGCGCCGTTGGTTTGCTTAAAGGCCACAATGTTTGCTGAACTACCATGGCATTTACTTTATGACTGTAGCAGAGGACTGCTGCAAAAAGGCCATAGAATTGTTTTACAATATCATGATTTATGAAAGCGGTCTCCAACCTTGGTAACTTTATGACTGGTGGACTTCAACTCCCAGATTCCTCAGCCAGTGTGCCTGGCTGAGGAATTCTGGGAGTTGAAGTCCACCAGTCATAAAGTTGCCAAAGTAGGAGACTCCTGATTTATGACCACGATGGGCAGGCTCCATTATGGTTGTAAGTCGAGGACTACTTGTAAATCTCTCGTCTTGGAAAGCTGAGTGAACTGGGCCATCTCATTAAGCCGTAGTTATTTGTTTAGTGTGTTAGATGAATAACACCGAGCAATTGTGCTTTGCCAACCTGAAGTTAGGGTTTAGCCCAGTTTTTCAATCTCAGCAACTTTTAAAAAGTGTGGACCTCAACACTCAGAATTCTCCAGCCAGCATCGCCATTGCTAAGAATTCTGGGAGTTGAGGTCCACACATCTTAAAGACGCCAAGTCTGAGAAACATTGGTTTAGAGCAGGGGTAGGCCACCTTGGCTCTTTTATGACTCGTGGACTTCAACTCCCAGAATTCCTGAGCCAGCCATGCTGAGGGGAAAGGGAGGGGTTTCCAAGCTGAGCCATGCTGGCTCAGGAATTCTGGGAGTTGAAGTCCACAAGTCATAAAAGGGCCATTGTTCCCTCTCAGAGCAGCTAGTCTGGGCAGTTACAAGAGCCCATGTATCCTGGCAGTGCTCCTGAACTGGGATCAGTTTGCACAACGAATTAGATGGCTGGCTCAGGAATTCTGGGAGTTGAAGTCTACAGGTTGTAAAGGAGCTATAGTTGCCCATCCTGCTCTATCTTATAGCAAGGCTGATTCATCTGCTGAGACTGGCAGAGCTGTCATGTGGGACGCTGTGAGACAGACCTTTTTTTGACTCAATGCTTGTGGCCCCACCAGCTTGGTCAGTATCCTGCATCCATGGGCGATCCCTTCTGCCTCTTTTGGGAAGCGGAGAGCACTGTTCACGCAAGCCAAGCCTGCATCTTCTACATGCTGATGTGCACGGAGATACATAAGGGCCAGAGTGCATGTCAGCTGGCCTTACCAAGAAAACCAGAAAGTAGATCTTGCAGGAACATCCCTGGGCTTATAAAAAAAAAAAAAAGTTCTTTTAAAACTTTTCAATGGTGCATTGAGGAAATGGAACGGCCTTCAGAGCTACAGGTTGCTACGCCATCCTGGAGATATAGGATTCCCCGCTAGAGTCACATGGAAGCCAGCCCGGTGCCACATCGGCAACGCTTTCCGTTCTACGAGCATTTCAAAGGTTCCTCTCCCGTATGGACCCTTTTATGGCTTAGAAGGTGAGAACTGGAGATAAAGCATTTCCCGCACTCTAAGCATTCGTAGGGTTTCTCTCCCGTGTGGACCCGTTTATGGCTGACGAGACGAGAACTGGAAATGAAACTTTTCCCGCACTCGGCGCATTCGAAGGGCTTCTCCCCCGTGTGAGTCCTCTTGTGGGTGATGAGGGAGGCCTTCTGCCTGAAGCTCTTGCCGCAACCTGAGCATATATATGGCTTCTCTCCTGTGTGGATCCGGCTGTGAGCCGTAAGGTTGGAACTCCGGCTGAAGTTCTTCCCGCAGTCGGGGCACTTGTACGGCTTCTCGCCTGTGTGCGTCCGCTTGTGATCCGTCAGGTGGGAGCTGCTGCCGAAACGCTTCCCGCACTCCAGGCACTCGTAGGGCTTCTCTCCCGTGTGCACCCGGATGTGGTTGATGATCTGGGAGCAGGCGCTGAAGCTCTTCCCGCAGAGCGTGCACTCGTAGGGCTTCTCGCCCGTGTGCGTCCGCTTGTGCGTGATCAGGGAGGCCTTCTGGTTGAAGTTCTTCCCGCAGTAGGAGCAACTGTAGGGCTTCTCCCCCGTGTGGACCCTCTTATGGGTGATGAGCTGGGAGCTGGTGCTGAAGCTCTTCCCGCACTCGGAGCACTCGTAGGGCTTCTCCCCCGTGTGCGTCCTCTCGTGGGTGATGAGGGAGGCTTTCTGGTTGAAGCTCTTGCCGCAGACGGCACACTTGTGCGGCTTCTCGGGCATGTGGGTCTCCTCATGCCGCATCAGCTCGGAAGGATGAGAGAACCACGTCTCGCAGACCGAGCACTTGTAGGGCTTCTCTCCGGTGTGGATCCTCTCGTGGATGATGAGGTGAGTTCTCTCATAGAAACTGGCCCCACAGAACGAGCACTTGTGAGGTTTCTCCATCGGTTGAATTTCCTGAGGGCCAATACTTTTGCCGGAACTTTCCCCCGAGTCGACGTGCCGGGGAATCCCCTCCTGAGAGGAGCTTTCCCGGGCGCCCCTGCTGCTCTCCTCAAAGCGCTTGGTCGCCTTTCCAGGATGGCTTTCGGAGTGACCTTCAGGATTCTCGTCCGACTCGGGGCCTTGGAAACCCTTCCCTACAGCTCTTTCCAGGGATAACCCGCCACTAATTGTCGGTTCAGGATGGCTGGGTGGGAAAGATTCCTCCTCCTCTCCCTCCTCCTGCACTTGCTCGTTCCCTGTGACGACAAAAAAAAAAAAAAAAAAAACAGATAAAAGTTAGGACAGTCTCTCCATCTTCACCAAATCTGGAAATCACAAAAGCTTCGCTCCAACTCTTCAGCCTTCAGCAGCACGAGAACTCCTTGGAATCTGTAAAGGTAAAGGAGGACCTTTTTAACCATCGCTGGTGGACTTGCAACAAAGCAAAAAAAATATTGGAGTAGGATTCACGTCTTAACACAGAAACAAATATACAGATAAAACCAGAGACTTTTCTTTTTTAGGTTTAATGAACGAAAGACTTAGGAAAAAAAAAAAAGAGGAACTTCGTTGTCGTATACACTGACAGCAGGAAGAATGCTTTATGCACAAAAATTGGAAACATATTTTAATTCCACAACGGATGACTGGCTGGGAAAACTGATGGAATTAACAGAGATGGCTAAATTAACTTCCCTAACCAAAGAAAAGAATACAGATTGTTTCCACTTGGAAAACGCTTCTGGACTTTGAACTTGAGATGGAAAAAAATGAAACCTTGACTTTGGTTTTTGCTGATTAGATACGTTTGTTATTATAGAAATGGCTAGGACAGGGGTAGGCAACCTTGGTTCTTTTATGACTCGTGGACTTCAACTCCCAGAATTCCTGAGCCAGTCATGCTTGAGGGGAAAGGGAGCTGTTTCCAAGTTGAGTCATGCTGGCTCAGGAATACTGGGAGTTGAAGTCCACGAATCATAAAAGAGCCAAGGTTGCCTACCCCTGGTATAGGCTTTGGGACCTATTGCCGTTGAAGCAAGTTGGCTGATGCCCACCTTAATGCTCTAATATTGATTGTTCCAGGACAATCCTTTGCCAGTCCGAGCGACACAGCTTTAAGAGGCTAAGAGCCTTGCCTAAGGCTGGCTGTGGATGATCCACCTGATCCCTGTGTCTCTGAAATTCCTGCTTCCCAGAATGACAACCTAGAGCAGGGGTAGGCAACCTTGGCTCTTTTTATGACTCATGGACTTCAATTCTCAGAATTCCTGAGCCAGCCTGGCTCAGCTTGGAAACCTCTCCCTTTCCCCTCAAGCATGACTGGCTCAGGAATTCTGGGAGTTGAAATCCACAAGTCACAAAAGAGCCAAGGTTGCCTATCCCTGACCTAGAGGAATCAGAAGGGACCTTGAGAACTCTGGGTACTCCAACACTGGAGATTTTAAAGAAGAGATCGGACAATGATTTGTCTGAAATGTAATAGGGTTTCCTGCTTCAGAAAGGGGTTGGACCAGAACAGAAGTCCCCAACCCCCAAACCATGGCCCACTACCGGGCCCAGGCCTATTTGCAATCGGGCCAAATGAACGGCGGAGTGGTGTGGATGTGCATGCGAGGTCAACTCGCACGAGTGGCGGGCTGGGGTGTGAGCTCGCAACTTGCACACTGCAGCTCGCCTGGCTGAGGGGGGAGAGGGGAACTAGGCCATGTGAGTGGCGGGTCAACATATGCGCAGCTCACCTACTTGGGCTGTGTGTTCACGCCGGCATGCTACTCGTATGAGTCACTTAAGCGGCTCAGTTCTCTCTCCCCAGCCGGGCCGCCAAGCCACAAAGGTTGGACTAGATCAGTGGTTCTCAACCTGTGGGTCGGGACCCCATTTGGGGTCGAACGACCATTTCACGGGGGTTACCAAACAACGCAGTCTGCCATTTTTTCCCCCCTTTTCCTTAGCTGTGCTACTCCCTTTTATTCTATTGGCTTTTGAAAGCCAGTAGAATAGACTCTCTTGAATAGAGTCTAATTCTATTGGCTTTCAAAAGCCAATAGGAATTGTCCAGGCTGTCTGCCCTGCTGAGCCCGCCAAAAGTCCCATTCTGCAAACGGTTGTGCACCAGTTGAGTAGTCTTCAACTTACGACTGGTTGAGTAGTCCTCGACTTACGACCGGTTGGGGGTTGCGGCATTAAAAAGGTTGAGAACGAGTGTTTGGGGAAGTTAAAGGAGGAACATCTCAAAGCCAACGGAGGCGCTTGCACTCCTGCCTGGGAACTCTTCAGGGACGATGGAGGAAGGGGAAAAGAGACCACAAAGAAACTACAGCAGAAAATAACGACACCACCACCAACAAAAGGAAAGGTTCAAGCTAACTTGCCTGACAAAGTGGCCTCCCAATCATCTTCCTGCTTCTTTTCCAAAGGGAGCTGCACCTTCAGGACATGAGGCGAAGAATGATCCGATTTGGGAGAATTAAACCCCTGTTCTAACGTTCCTGACACCTAAATGCAAAAACAAAGCAAAAAAATGCATTTGAATATAGTTCGCATTGGAGAAACAGAATGATCAGAGAGCCATTTACGGGTCTGCCTCCCAATCAAAATTGTTGACAGTCTCAAACATCTGGTCATAGAAGATTGTAATAGTAGTAAAGTTGGAAGGGACCTTGGAGGTCATCTAGTCCAACCCCCTGCTCAGGCAGGAAACCCTACACCATTTCGGACAAATGGCTGTCCAGTCTCTTCTTAAAAACTTCCAGTGTTGGAGCATTTACTGCTTCTGGAGGCAGGCTGTTCCACTGATTAATTGTTCTCACTGTCAGGAAGTTTCTCCTTAGTTCTAGGTTGCTTCTCTCCTTGATTAGTTTCCACCCGTTGCTTCTTGTCCTGCCTTCAGGTGCTTTGGAAAATAGCTTAATTCCCTCTTCTTTATGGCAGCCCCTGAGATATTGGAATACTGCTATCATGTCCCCCCTTGTCCTTCTCTTCATTAAACTAGACATACTCAATTCTAGCAACCGTTCCTTATATGTTTTAGCCTCCAGTACCCTAATCATCTTTGTTGCTCTTCTCTGTACTCTTTCTAGAGTCTCAACATCTTTTTTACATCGTGGTGAGCAAAACTGGATGCAGTATTCCAAGTGTGGCCTTACCAAGGCATTGTAGAGTGGTATTAATACTTCACGTGATCTTTATTCTATCCTTCTGTTAATGCAGCTTAGCACTGTGTTGGCCTTTTTGGCAGCTGCAGCACACTGCTGGCTCATATTTAGGTGATTGTCTACTAGGACTCCGAGGTCCCTCTCACAGTTACTACTATTGAGCATGATGCCACCTATGCTGTACTAAACTGCTCCTCTTGAATGTGGAGGTTCTGTATGTTTTAAATTTGAACGAGTAAACCTTGTCGGCTGGAGATCAGCCTAATCTCTGCTGTAGCAACAGGAATGTGTTTATGCCTCCAGATTTTCAGTATCGGTCAGCAGGCCCAGCATCTGAATTTTGATCACATGATCATGGGGAGGATGCAAAGGGTGTAAGTGTGACCTACGATCATAAGTCACTTTTTTTTATTAAAACGTTTTATAAAAAATTACAATATCAACCCACCCAACCCCCCCTCTCCCTCCCCCACTTCCCAGAGCTGAGTACAGGGTTACAAATATGATAATCATAATCTAACTAACATTAACAAACTATATAAATAACCAAATCCATAATGCACTTTAACTCCCCCTTAACATAAATATAAACAAATTAAAAGTAAACATAATAATAATGAGAACATAAACAAATTAATATCCTAATTATTAAACAATGCAGTCCCCAAATAATTAAACAATACTAATACTAAAAATAATAATATCATAATAATACTCTAAAATTCACTCATGAGCTAAATGAAACTTTTTAGTCCCATATTTATTCTGAATATAATTCATCCATCGTCTCCAAACCGAAATGTATCTTTCTTGTGAGTGATCCTTCAAGTAAGCAGAAAGCCATTTCTGCTAAATTTGACACTTTAAGCGTCCATTCTTCTATAGTAGGCAAGCAATCCTTCTTCCAATATTGCCCTACTAACAACCTTGCAGCTATTATCAAATTCAACATCAGTCACATTTTTCAGTGCCGTTGTAAACGAAATGAATGGCCCTAAGGTGGGGACTACCTGTGTTAACTGTTCTGATAAAACACAAAGGACATGGAAAACCTTAAAGCTTCATGGAGGCATATCAGCCCTTCGAGGTAGGCCAGGCAAGAAACTCATACTACAAACACTGATACTATTTTTATTGTAATGTTATAGTAACAGAATTTTGCAAATCTGAAAGCACATCCATCCCCCCCACCCTTTACTTACTAAAGAACTGGGGGATGGGGTCCTCCTGAGACTCTTTCTCCACCCCACCCCACCCCCTTTCCTTCTGTGGGCTGAGAGATCTCTTGTCCAGGCTGCAGCTTCTCCTCCCAAGGTTATTCTCACAGTCCATAACAACACAGCCTCACACTTAAAATTGGATATGTCTCTAGTTTAACGAAGAGAAGGACGAGGGGGGACAGGATAGCAGTGTTCCAGTATCTCAGGGGCTGCCACAAAGAAGAGGGAGTCAAGCTATTTTCCAAAGTGCCTGAAGGCAGGACAAGAAGCAACTGGTGGAAACTAATCAAAGTGAAAAGCAATCTGGAACTAAGGAGAAACTTCCTGACAGTGAGAACAATTAACCAGTGGAACCACCTGCCTCCAGAAGCGGTGAATGCTCCAACATTAGAAGTTTTCAAGAAGAGACTGGACAGCCATTTGTCTGAAATGGTATAGGGTTTCCTGCCTGAGCAGGGGGTTGGACTAGATGACCTCCAAGGTCCCTTTCTATTCTATTCTATTCTATTCTTCTGTTCTACTCTATTCTGAAATGCCATGACTTTGTCTCTACTGTAATCTATACAAGTAGTCCTCAACTTGTGACCACAATTAAGCCCCAAATTTTGCCAAGCAGGATAGCTGTTCAATGGGTTTTGCCCCGCTGTACAACCTTCCTTTGCCACAGTTGTTAAATGAACCACTGTGGTGGTTCAGTTAATAACACAATTGTTCAGTGAAGACGGCTTCCCCATTGATGCGGCTTGTCTGAAAGTCGCAAAAGGTGATCACATGTCTCCGGGATACTGCAACCATCATAAATATGAGACATTTGCCAAGGGTCCGAATTTTGATCACATAGCCACAGGGAATGCTGAAATGGTTGTAAGTGTGAAAAGGGTCATAAATCACTTTTTTCCAGCACCCTTGTAACTCCCAACAGTCGCTAAATGCAGGGTTGTAAGCTGAGGACTAATTAGCTGCCAACTCCCAAGAGCCATGCTTACTCACCTTCTGCTCCGGCTCCTCAGAGTCTTGCAAAAAACGTTCAGCCAGGGCGACGGCCCGCGTGCAGGTCTCCGGCCCCTGTTCCCGGATCCAGCTTTGCATCTCAGGGGGCAGGACAGTCATGAACTGCTCCAGAATCAGTGACTCCAGGATCTGCTCCTTGGTGTGGGTCTCCGGCCTGAGCCATTGATGGCACAGCTCCCAGAGCTGGTTACAAACCTCCCTTGGCCCTTCGGCTTCCTCGTAGCAGAAAAGACGGAACCGTTGTCGCCGTACCTCCATGTGGATGGGATCCTCATCCAGGACCTCTTCCTTCACCTTCACGGATGAATCCTGGCTGCTCCCGTAGGGCTTACTGTCACCCAGTGTGGTTTCAGATATGCACTCTACTTTCGGCCACTGGTTTTCTTCTTCTGCTCTCTTAAAGGAGGTTGGGCAATACTTGGAGTCTTCCCCTAACATGTAGTGAGGGGACCGGGGGTTCCTCCAGCCCGAACGGGAGGGCTGCATGGTCTTCAGGAAGTCTTGTAATTGGTTTTCCCAGCATTGGTCCTCGGGCTCCTGCTTAAACTGCTGGGGGGGCACAGCCCCCTCCAGCAACTCCCCAGTGGCCCCGATTTGAACCACGTGGAGGTCTGGTGCTTTGCCTTCCAAACTCTCCTGGGATTCAGCTCCAGCAGTTTCCTGTTCCTCCATTTGGGCTTCTGAATCCAGCTCCTGCATTGAAAATGAAAAACCAGGTTACCTCAGTACCAAACAGGGATCCAGACCCCACCCCAAAACAGACTGCAAGGAGAGAGCAAAGTAAATTAAGCATGCAAAAAAGAGTCTAGGGGTCTCAACCGGGCTTTTATTAAGTCTCACTTCTCCAGACATGTGAGACAGGGCAACATCCCCAGTTGGAATACAATTCCGGCACTTGTGGGTTGCAATACATCTGGGTTAGAAGACAGAGGCTATCCAAGTTTGTACACATTCAGGAATCGTAGGAAAGCTACAAATCTGAGCTGATGGTGAAATGGGAGCAACTGAGCCAAACGTGCTTTTATTTTAAAGACAACTGGATTTTCTGATTTTTCTTTAAAGCATTTCGCTTCTCATCCAAGAGGCTTCTTCAGTTCTAACTGGTGACAAGAAACAGGGAGAAAGCAGAACTATTTAACTCGTTTTTTTGCATCCGTCTTTACACAAAGGGAAGAAACAGTCCAACCTATCAAAAACAGTACCGTAAAAAACAGATTTTTTGTCACAGTTGAGCGAATCGTTGCAACTATTAAACGAATCCTGTTTAATGTTAAGCGTTAAGAGAATCGGGCTTCCCCATTGCCTGGCCGAAAGTCACAAAACACACGACCTCGGGATTCTGGAACAGTCATAAATACATGCAGTTGACAAACAGCTGAATTTTGATCACGTGACCATGGGGGACGCTGCAAGGGTCGTAAAGCGTGAAAAAAGGTCATAAGGGGTTTTTTTTTCCCCCAGTGCTACTCTAACTTTGTACGATCACTAAACAAATGGTTGTAAGTCAAGGACTATCTGTTTAAGGATTACATCTAATTAGGAAAAAAGACAACAGCATAGATTAGGTCAGGGGTCTTCAACCTTGGCAACTTTAAGACTTGTGGACTTCAACTCCCAGAATTCTTCAGCCAGCCATGCTGAGGGGAAAGGGAGAGGTTTCCAAGCTGAGCCATGCTGGCTCAGGAATTCTGGGAATTGAAGTCCACGAGGCATAAAAGAGCCAAGGTGGCCAACCCCTGATCTAAGGCAATGTTTGAGAACAGAGATTCTCTAGTTCCAATTTGTTGACATAATAGATCAAATTAAGCAAGTTGAAGTCCACAAGTCTTAAAAATTGCCAAGGTTGAGGACCCCTGGATTAGGGGAAGATTAATGATGCAGGATTAAAGCAAAGGCATTCCCCATCTATCCTTCAATTTCCCCCACTAATCAGACAGAGGCTTCTGGTGAAGAGTCCACAAGGGGCAGCTACTGGCATTCAGAGACAAAAATCCGTAAATATGGACCATCATCATAGACTTTTCCTCTATGATTCCGAATCGCTCTCTCTGAATGCTGTTGAAATCAGGGATCCCATAAACATGCCAGACTAGGAGGCCCTCCCTTTGGGGAGGCCCTCATTATTATCACTTGGGCCCTAGTCTCCTCCTAGTTCAGTGATGGTGAACCTTTTAGAGACCGAGTGCCCAAACTGCAACCCAAAACCCACTTATGCATCATTGGGTGCCAGGTAGGTGTGCCCATTGGGTGGGCATGGCTGCAGTGGTAACAGCAGACTGGGTGGGACTAAAAAGTTCAATCAATTCCAACTTTACAAGATCTTTTTTCCCCCGCGAGAAGTTGAAATTGACTGATTGATTGAACCTTTTTTTTTTTGCACACGGCGGTAGAGGCCTAAAGCGAAAAGTTTTTATAAAACCCAGCTGAAGGCCTAGGACTGGGACGATGGTGCGCGTGCCCACAGAGAGGGCTCTGAGTGCCACCTCTGGCACCCGTGCCATAGGTTCGCCACCACTGTCCTAGTTGGACTACTGCAGTGTGCCTCCACATGGGGCTGCCCTTGAAGGCAAGAGGTCTGGAGCACAACAGCTAGAAGTAGGATAGTCAATTTGCCCTCAGCTTCACTGGCTGCCAGGATAGGATGTTCCCAGATGGTCAATCCAAGTTGAGGATTGTCACTTTTAAAGCTGCTCATGGATCAGAATATGTTGCTTCTCTATGAGATCGCCTACCTCCAGTGGTATCATTGCAAAGGGCAAGGTTTCCAGTCAGCCAGTCAGATAATAATAATAATAATAATAATAATAGTAGTAGTAGTAGTAGCAGTAGTAATAACAACAACAGACAAGCACCTGAAACATAACACCCCGGACTTAACAATTGTTGATAAGAAAGACAAAAAAGTCTGGATAGTGGACATGGCAGTACCTGGAGACAGCAGAATAGACAAGAAAGAACTGGAGAAGATAACAAAATACAAAGACCTACAAATAGAAATAGAAAGACTGTGGCAAAGGCAAGAAGGGTAGTACCAATAGTCATAGGCGCCTTGGGTGCAATCCCAAAACAACTGGAGCACCACTTGAACACCATTGGCATTGACAAATTCGCTATTAGTCAATTGCAAAAGGCGGCCTTACTAGGAACTGCTTCCATCCTGCAACGATATCTGTAATACCATCGAAGATCCACATCTGCCTATCCCAGGTCCTTGGTAAGGACTCGATAGGTAGACAAAATGTCAAATCCAGTCTGAACATCTGGCTGACTGTGCGATGATTAACAACAACAACAACAATAATAATAGAGTTGGAAGGGACCTTGGAGATCTTCTAGTCCAATCCCCTGCTCAGGCAGGAAACCCTATACCACAGGTCGGCAACCTGCGGCTCCGGAGCCGCATGCGGCTCTTTGAGCCTTCCCATGCGGCTCCCAGCCTCCTCTGCCTTTGCAGAGAGAGAGACAGAGACAGAGAGAGGAATTGCGCTTCCCTGCTTCTCTCTCTCTCTCTCTCTCTCTGTGTGTTTTTTGTGTGTGTGTGTGTGTGTGTGTATAAAAAAAAGAGAGTGCACTCACAGTGTTCTCCGAGGAGCTGAAAAGCTTACTGGGCTGAGCTCTTCCCTTTGCTGCATCTCTGCAGGAAGCAGGAAGCAGGAAGGGCAGGAGAGAGCTAGCTAGCCCAGCTAGGCTGACTCAGGACTTCTGGGAGTTGAAGTCCATGAGTCATAAAAGAGACGAGGTTGCTTACCCCTGATCTTGTTGGACAACAGCCTGAAGCTTGTCAGGTGAGCAGCAGATAGGAGAGGGGGGGAGAAAGAGAGAGAGAGAGAAAGAGAGAGAGGGAGAGAGAGAGAGAGAGAGAGAGAGGAAAGAGAGAGAGAGAAAGAAAGAGAGCGGGGGAAGAGGAGTGGCAGATCAAGGGCAGATAGGGAGGGAGAGAGAGACCCTTTTGACATCTAAAATGAAGATAACACTGCATATATCCTTTTTTATCTCTGTGTGTGTGTGTGTATGTATATATATATATATATATACATACATAGATATACATATATATACACACATACACACACACACACAAACACACACACACAAACACACACACACCTATAATAAAGGTAAAAAAGGATATATGCAGTGTTATCTTCATTTTAGATATCAAAATGGTTTTGCGGCTCCCAGTGTTTTGTTTTTGGTGGGAAACGGGTCCAAGTGGCTCTTTAAGTGTTTTGGGTTGCCTACCCCTGCCCTATACCAATGGTGGTGAACCTATGGCATGCCCCAGCCCCACCTCCCCCCATGCCCCCCTCCTCACCAGCAGTCCTCCTGGAGGAGAGTTGTCCCCGGTGCGGCACACACAGACCAGCGTAGCCAAGGACATGGCAGCCGGGCAGTGGAGACAAGACTCCACCCTCACGCCCCGTTGCCCGCAGATGACACTGAAGGGCACAGGCGGAGGGCGTGGCTGCCTGGGCACTGCAGGGCTACCTGGGCGATCTGCTGCGGTGGGCCGTGGAGATGGTGGGTGACCCTGTGGGCAGGCGGGGTGGGGGCAGAGTGGGGGAGCCAGGGAGCAGGACGGGATGGGCAGGGTAGTTTTGGGGCACTCGGTCTCTAAAAGGTTTACCATCATTGCCCTATACCAGAGTAGACAACCTTGGCTATTTTATGACTTGTGGACTTCAATTCCCAGAATTCCCGAACCAGCCATTGTTGTTGTTGTTGTTAATTGCGAAGTTGTGTCCGACCCATCGCGACCCCATGGACAACGTTCCTCCAGGTCTTCCTGTCCTCTACCATCTTCTGGAGTCCATTTAAGTTCACACCTACTGCTTCAGGGACTCCATCCAGCCACCTCATTCTCTGTCGTCCCCTTCTTCTATTGCCCTCAATTTTTCCCAACATTAGGCCCTTTTCCAGTGAGTCCTTCCTTCTCATTAGGTGGCCAAAGTAGTTGAATTTCAACTTCAGGATCTGGCCTTCTAAAGAGCAGTCGGGGTTGATCTCTTCTAGGACTGACCGGTTTGAACGCCTTGCAGTCCAAGGGACTCGCAGGAGTCTTCTCCAGCACCATAGTTCAAAGGCCTCAATTCTTTGGCGCTCAGCCTTTCTTATGGTCCCAACTTTCACAGCCATACATTGCAATTGGGAAAACCATGGCCTGGACTATACGCACTTTTGTTGGCAGGGTGATGTCTCTGCTTTTTAGAATGCTGTCTAGATTTGCCATAGCTTTCCTCCCCAGGAGCAAGCGTCTTTTAATTTCTTGGCTGCAGTCCCATCTGAGGTGATCTTGGAGCCCAGAAAAATAAAATCTGTCACTACCTCCATTTCTTCCCCATCTATTTGCCAGGAATTGAGAGGGCCGGATGCCATGATTTTGGTTTTCTTAATGTTGAGTTTCAAGCTTACTTTTGCACTCTCCTTCTTCACCTGCATCAAGAGGCTCTTTAGTTCCTCTTCACTTTCTGCCATTAGAGTGGTATCATCTGCATATCTTAGGTTGTTGATATTTCTCCCGGCAATCAGCCATTATGGGAGTTGAAATCCACGAATCATAAAAGAGCCAAGGTTTGCTTACCCCTGCTCTATACCATTTGAGACAAATGACTGTTCAGTCTCTTCTTAAAAACTTCCAGTGTTGGAGCATTTACTGCTTCTGGAGGCAGGTTGTTCCACTGGTTAATTGTTCTGTCAGGAAGTTTCTCCTCAGTTCTAGGTTGCTTCTCTCTTTGGTTAGTTTCCATCCCTTGCTTCTTTGTCCTGCCTTCAGGCGCTTTGAAAAATAGCTTGACTCCCTCTTCTTTGTGGCTGCCCCTGAGATACTGGAACACTGCTATCATGTCCCCCCTCGTCCTACTCTTCATTCAGATAAGAACACCCAAACTACAGGTAAGACCTCAGTGTACAAAAGTTCCATTTAGTGACCATTCGAAGTTACAGTGGCACTGAAAAAAGTGACTTATAACTACTTTTCAAATTTATGACCGTGGCAGCATCCCCCTGGTCACGTGATCAAAATTCAGAAGCTTGCCAACGGACGGTTGCCGTGTCCCAAGGTCACGTGATCCTCTTTTGTGACCTTCTGACAAGCAAAGTCAATGGGGAAGCCAGAGTCACTTAAACGTCGTGTAACTAACTTAACAACTGTAGCAGGAAAGGTTGTAAGGAACGGTTGCTGGAATTGGGTGTGTCTAGTTCAGTGATGGCAAACCTTTTAGAGACCAAATGCCCAAACCGCAACCCAAAACCCACTTATTTATTGCAAAATGCCGGGGTCGCATCAGCATTGTGGTGCCTCTGGCACACAAAAACTGAGGGCACAAAAATGGGCCACCGTGTTGCACGGTACAAAAATGGCCGCCACCACACTGCGGGGTGCAGATACAAGACGCTGTACCACGTAAGAACGGGGCAGGGCTAGTGAGGATCATGCAGGCAGGCAAGTGCTTGCTCGTAGCCCCTTGCGCACATGCACACATGTAAAATGCTTCCCTCTCCCTTTTCTTCCAGTCTACCGATCGACAATGGTTGGTGACCTCTGTTCTACCACCTCTACTCGAGCTTGCTAGTTGGCCGCTTCACCTCTTTTGTGCTGGGCGGGGCTCCTGCCCTGGGTGGTGGTGCGCATGCCAACAGAGAGGGCTCTGAGTGCCGCCTCTGGCACATGTGCCATAGGTTCACCACCACTGGTCTAGTTTAATGAAGAGAAGGACGAGGGGGGCTGCCACAAAGAAGAGGGAGTCAAGCTATTTTACAGAGCACCTGAGGGCAGGACAAGAAGCAACAGATGGAAACTAAGCAAGGAGAGAAGCAACCTAGAACTAAGGAGAAACTTCCTGACAATGAGAACAATTAACCAGTGGAACAACCTGCCTCCAGAAGTGGTGAATGCTCCCACACTGGAAGTTTTCAAGAAGAGACTGGACAGCCATTTGTCCGAAATGGTATAAGGTTTCCTGCCTGAGCAGGGGGTTGGACTAGATGACCTCCAAGATCCCTTCCAACTTTATTATTATTGATCATCGCACAGTCAACTAGATGTTCAGACTGGATTTGGCATTTTGTCTACCTATCGAGTCCTTACCCAGGACCTGGGATAGGCAGATGTGGATGTTTGATGGTATTACAGATATCGTTGCAGGATGGAAGCAGTTCCTAGTAAGGCCGCCTTTGCAATTGACTAATAGCGAATTTGTCAATGCCAATGGTGTTCAAGTGGTGCTCCAGTTGTTTTGGGATTGCACCCAAGGCGCCTATGACTATTGGTACTACCCTTGCTTGCTTTTGCCACAGTCTTTCTATTTCTATTTGTAGGTCTTTGTATTTTGTTATCTTCTCCAGTTCTTTCTCTTCTATTCTTCTATCTCCAGGCACTACCACGTCCACTATCCAGACTTTTTTGTCTTTCTTATCGACAATTGTTAAGTCTGGGGTGTTATGTTGCAAATGCTTGTCTGTTTGAATTCTGAAGTCCCAGAGCAGTTTAATTTTATCATTCTCTATGACTTTCTCTATTTTATGATCCCACCAGTTTTTGCTTACAGGCAAATGATATTTTTTGCAGATCTTCGAATGCACCATTGTTGCTACTATTATTATCATTATTATTATTATTAGGCAAAATTCACTTGATAATTATCTCACTTAACAACAGAAAGTTTGGGCTCAGTTGTGGTCATAGGTCAAGGGCTACCTACAGTATATGCATTAATTTGTTGAAACTCTCACCTGCCTAGCTCGTTCTTTTTCAAAAAAAAAAAATATGCCGTAATTATTCTTAAAATTCAGTACAGGTAGTCCTCAATTACAACAGTTCTTTTAGTGACCGTTTACAGTTGCAACGGCAGTGAAAAAAGTGACTTACAACCCTTTTTCACTCGTGACCACTGCAGTATCCCAATGGTCAGGTGATCAAAATTCAGATGCTTAGCAACTGACTCACACTTATGACGGAAGCAGTGTCCCGGAGTCATGTGATCCACTTTTGCCACCTTTTGACAAGCAAAGCCAAGGGGGAAACAAGATTCACTTAACTACCATATTATTAACTTAACTGCAACGATTCACTTAACAACGGTGACAAGAAAGGTCGTAAAACAGGGCAAAACTCACTGAACAAATTTCTCACTCTCAGCTGTGGTGGTAAGTTGAGGACTACCTGTATGAATACTAGTGTTTTAAATTCTTTTTATCTACCTTAGCATATGCTGCTTCAAAACATCTTTTTTAAATAAACTTGTTTTACTTTAAAAATAATGGGCAAATGCTCTGAAATTCTTTTCTTTCTTTTTTTCCCAACAATCAGGCCTAAATTAAAACAAAACAAGGATTTTAAAGGATGTTAATCAGATAACTTGGGCAGGACAATGAAGTAAGCAAGCTTTTTTTTTTTCTTTTTTGATTAAGCATACTCACTATTGCAGAATGTAGCTCTACTCTGGTAGGAGTACCCGGTGCAGATCCCTAGGACCAAGGTCACATTGGAGCTTTCTCCAAAGAGGAGTTTCCTCCAATTCCTGCAGCCTATCTATATTGAGGTATAAAGCAAAGATGGATGGGTAGGTGGCTGCCCAGCAAAAACAATCTGCCAAAGATTTTTTCTTTCTTGCAAGGTCCAGCCAAACAACTCCTGTCATGAGGAAGTGGCCCGTGGATTTAAACTACAAATTCTGGTTATCTGGATCTGCAGTTTATGCCCTACCAACTAAGATTACGGATTGTCTATGTGTCACATTCTAGATCAGCGGTTTTCAACCTGTGGGTCGGGACCCCATTTGGGGTCAAACGACCATTTCACGGGGGTCGCCAAACAACGCAGTCTGCCATTTTTTCCCCCCTTTTCCTTAGCTGTGCTACTCCCTTTTATTCTATTGGCTTTTGAAAGCCAATAGAATAGACTCTCTTGAATAGAGTCTAATTCTATTGGCTTTCAAAGCCAATAGGAATGGTCCAGGCTGTCTCTGCCCTGCTGAGCCCGTCAAAAGTCCCATTCTGCAAACGGTGCTGCACCAGTTGAGTAGTCCTCGACTTACGACTGGTTGGGGGTCGCGACATTAAAAAGGTTGAGAACCACTGTTCTAGATCTTCAAAACCTGGTTATTTAACTCCCCCCCCCCACTGTTTCTCATCTCTGCAACTGGAATGTGGCCAGGTTTAGAGCATGTTTCTCAACCGGGGCCATTTGGCGGGAATTCTGGGAATTGACGTCCACCCATCTTCAGGTAGCCAAAGTTGAGAAACCCTGCTTTAGACCAACCCCCCCTCCCTACGTTGCCTCTTCTGCTGCAAAAACTTTTGGCATTCAGCTAGGGAACCCCAAAATTTGGGAAGATGTGCTGGGGACCCTTTCCCTAAGACCCCCTCCCTCCTTTGGGTCCCCATCCTGACTGTCCTTTTTTTTTTTTCATGCTGGAATAAATGAAGAGGCCACCTTAGTCATGCTCCATCAAAAGACTTCAAGAGGAGGAAAACAGCCACAGACCACAGGCTCGCTTCTCCAGGGAAGTCTCTCCACCGTTACTCATCCCTGAACCTGGAGTCCCAAGGACACCGTAGCCCACCAACCGAGGCCTTGTGCCCTAAGAGTCCTTTTGCAGGCAAGGGAGATGTGCAGCAACCACGAAATGCACACCCACCAGCTGTCCGTCTGCAGCTGGGCATTCACAATTCCCAGCCCAATGCGAGGGCCGGTCCATTGCAGCAAAGCAACAGAGCATCCTGAGGCACCTTAAGGACTAGTATATTTATTAGACCAGCGCCCTCAATCTATTCCTTTACCATCTAACGGCACAGCTAAAGTTTGCCCGTGGGTCCTGGCACCCCTTTCCCTCCAGACCTTGATTCCTCCATCTCTCCCCCTGCCTTGTCCTCCCCCAGCACTTGGCTCCCCCTCCTCCGTTGCAGGAGGCTTCTCCCCCCCTCCCCTTTTTGCCTGCCCAAACTCACCCCCGCCTTGCAGCCTTTGTGTCTGCTGCAGCTGCAGTTCTTTGATGGCTCCCAGACTGGGGACCAAGAAGCAAAAGGCAGTTTCTCATGTCACCGGAGGCAAGAGGCGGGGCGGGAAGGGGAGGAGAAGGGGAGACCGCCTGCCCACCTGCCTCCCTTCCCAGTTGTGAATCAAATTTCCACTGCTTTTCTAGGAAGCAGAACTTGCTCGACTTAACCCTTCAGCAAATCGGAAAGGACTCAAAACTCATCCCAGCCAGGTTAAGAGACCCAGAAACGGGGAGCCAAATTTTGTCCGTCCCACTTTTTTAAAAAGCAGAACTGCCCAGGGGCAGGCTGGCCAGGGATGATGGATGCTGTAGCCCAAGCTTATCTCAGGATGTCGGGAGAGGAGGGGTAGTTAATTTAATATACATTTTACCGAGCATGCCCCATAGCTGTACAAGCAGTGAGCGTGGCACGTTGGTTGATGGATGAGACGCCAGGGCAAAAAAAATAAAATAAAATGCTGTATTGATTCATTTATTCTGTGCCCATGAAATATAGATGAGCATCGCATTTGCCAGTTGAGCGGCCAGGAAAAATAACAAAAGCAAATCAAAGCACAATGAAAAACATGATTAAAAACACTTTAATCCCCTGAATATGAAATGATAATCCCTTCCTTCTCTTTCTTTTTCTTTCTTTCTTTCTTTCTCTCTTTCTTTCTTTTCTTTCTTTCTCTTTCTTTCTTTCCCCATTCCCTTTCTCTTTCCCTTTGTCTCTTTCCCTCTTTTCTTCTTTTTTATTTTTAATTTCTTTACATTTGCGTGAAATGATAACCTCTTCCTTCTTTCTTTCTCTTGCTTGCTTTTCTTTCTCTTTATCTCTGTTTCTTTGTTTCTTTTCTTTTCTTTCTTTCTCTTTCTCCCCCCACCCACACACAAAATGCACCATGTGCCCAAATACAAATTGTAAACAACTGAACCAGATTGGGAGAGTCTTACAGCCACATCTACTACTGTTGTTGCCATTGTCTACCACTACATTTTGTACAGTTCAAACGTTTTCCACTTCCCATGGTCCCCACAAACAACAACCTTGTGAGGTTTCCAAGAGCTATTTAACTTCCTCTCCACTGTTTCTCATCTCTGCAACTGGAATGTGGCCATGTTTAGAGCATGTTTCTCAACCGGGGCCATTTGGTAGGACTTCAACTCCCAGAATTCCTCAGCCAGGAATTCTGGGAGTTGAAGTCCACCCATCTTCAGGTAGCCAAGGTTGAGAACCCTGCTTTAGATCCCCGTACGTTGCCTCTTCTGCTGCAAAAACTTTTGACATTCAGCTAGGGAAGACTAAGTAGCACTGTGTCTGCACAAGCTCAATTCGTTCTTCCTTCCTTCCTTCCTTCCTTCCTTCCTTCCTTCCTTCCTTCCTTCCCTACTTACTTACCTACCTACCTACTTACTTACTTAACCTTATTGTCAGATGAAATACAGGCAGTCCTTGACTTACAACCTCAATTGAGCTCAAAATTTCGGTTGCCAAGCAAACATGTGTTACGTGAGTTTTGCCCCATTTTATGACCTTTCTTGCTACTAGCTATTAAGTGAATCACTGCAGTTGATAAGTTAGTCTCCTGCTTCTTAATTAATAACCCAGTTGTTAAGTGAGTCTGGCTTTGGACTTTGCTGGTGAGAAGGTTGCAAAAGGGGATGGCATGATCCAGGGACAGTGATTATAGAACGGTGGTTCTCAACCTTTCTAATGCCGTGACCCCATAATACAGTTCCCCATGTTGTGGTGACCCCCAATCACTTATACATCACCGGTTGCCAGGGCCGTGTCCAAAGAAAAGGGGGAAAAAATGGCGGACAGCCTTGTTTGGCGACCCCCGTGAAATGGTCGTTCGACCCCAAATGGGGTCCCGACCCACAGGTTGAGAACCACTGTTATAGAAGGAGGACAAATTTCCAGGAAGGAAATGAGATTTAAGAATCTCAGGAGGTAAACGCAACAATTGTTGTTCCTTTGAAACACCAGCAGCTGCATGCAATTGGAAACCTTTTAAAAACTTCACGGACGTTTTTCAAACTTGTGGCATTTTCTCACCTGTTCCACTGCCATTCTCCAATGCCAGCACTAGAGAAAATCCACACAATCAGGCAAGACAAATATTATATTTAAACCAACTGTATTGCCTCAAGACAGTGATTTCCAATGATTAAACCACAGCTTAAATCGGCACACATCTTTCCAATGACGAACCGGAATTCTACAAGTCCATACATCCTAAAGTTGCTCAAGTTAGGAAACACCAATTTAAATTATTATAAAATACAGGTAATCCTCAACTTACGAGGACTACCTGTAACGGAGCCCAACATTTATGTTGCCAAGTGAGACATTTGTTAAGGGAGTTTTGCCCCGTTTTACGACCTTTTGTTGCCACAGCTGTGAGGTGAATCGCTGCAGTCTGGCTTCCCCATGGACTTTCCTGGTCATAAGGTTGCAATAGGGGATCGCATGATCCAGGGACACTGCAACCGTCATAAACGTGAGTCAGTTGCCAAGTATCTGAATGCAAATCACGTGATGATGGGGACACTGCAAGCCTGAAAAAGGTTATAAGTTGCTTTTTTCAGTGCTGCTGGAACTCTGAACGGTGACTGAGTGAGTAAGTCAACTGTCTTGCCAAATGTGGAGAATGGGACATATAAATCTCACACTTCTGGGCTAGAACTAACTGGGCACGGCCATCCATCGTCTCTGCTCTGAGCTATTGAGATCTTGTTTATCAGCTTCTGGTATTTTGCTTTTTCTGCTTTCCTCCCCCTTTGCTAGTCCCCCCCCCCGTCAACTGACTACCTCCTGCCGCCTTCTTTGACTCCAGTCCTTTGCTTTGCTTTGTTTCTTTGTTTTTTGCAGATTTTATTGCTTTATGATTGATTGCTTTAATCTGTTTATTCACTGTTGCCGGCTCCTTTGGTTGGTTGTATAAGAAAAAGCTAGGCACAGGATCATTAAATGAGAGAAATAAATAAAAGCCAGATTCCCTGCCCATTCTCTGGCCTCTTAGTCACCCACAACCAAATTACCACTCGGCCGGGACTCTGATTTTGTTCATTTTTAATCACGTTTGTCCGCTGGCTTTGTGAGTGGGCAGCCCTGAAATTAGATTTACAGCATTCCTGCCCATCTCTCAAAAAAATGCACAAAATGCTAACTGGATATCAAGAGGTGGATCTTTTCCAAAAGCTGATCCCTTCAGCTCCAATTTCATTTACTTCCTTGGCAGTTTTTCTAGCCTGCCCCTATTCAAGAGACACTGGGCAGCTTAACAAAGTAAAAACATCAAACAGCATTAAGAAACACAGACCCAAAGACACACACACAAAAACAACCCAAAATGGAGACCATAAAAAAAAAAATCAACTGAAAGCTCAGCACAATAAAAAGGTTTAGACTGTTTTATGAAAACTAGAAGGGGGGCTACGGGAACCTCTGGGCCTAGGGAATTCCAAAGCATGGAAGTACAGGGGAGAGGTCAAAAAAGTCAAAATGGCTGCTGGGTCAGCACACTCCAAGCCCTACCTGGTAATCTGGTTGACAATATTTCTCAATGGAATGATTAAACCAAAAGGCAATTTCCAGTTCTTGCCATTTTATCAAGATAAGTTACCAGAAAGTTTAGAATTGTTTTCAGTGATAGAAGTTTAATAAAGATAGGTTATCTCGCTATAACAATATAATTAGCAATTAGCACTGAAAAATACTGCTAAAATGTCTTCTCTTGGTTCTGGTGTCAGTATAGTAAGGTGACCAACCATCCTCCTTTAGGGAGGACAGTCCTCCTTTTGTGAGTTCTGTCCTCCCTCGAAAAGTGTCCTCTTACATGTCCTCCTTTTCGATATTTGAAGACTAATCTGCAGGGCTTTTTTTTCTCAGAGAACGCTCAGAACGGCATTCCGGCAACTTTTTTTTGATGGGGTTTTTTTTTTCAACTTTTGCACGAGCTGTGCTACTCCCACTATTGGCTTTCAAAAGCCAATAGGAATTGCTGCTGAGCATGCCAAAACACCCGGCCGGCAAACTTTGCACATGTAAGTTGTCTGAAGCGAAGGCGAATTGGCAGGAACATTGCACCCCTCCCTGCTACCCAACTACACCATCTCCTAGTTAGTTCCAAAGATACCTGGAGGAGACTGGAGCAGCAATGCCACGGTAACTTTCTCTTGATTTTCGGCCCTGCTAGGTAAATAATGGCTGCGGGCACAAGAGGCAGGGGCGGCGGGGCTGCTGCGGGCGGGGGTGTGAGGGGCGGCGGTGGTTGTGCTGTGGGAGTCGTGGGGCCTGCTCTACATGGGGCTGTGCCGGGTGGGCGGTGGTGCTGGCGGGACAGCTGCAGGCGAGGTGTGTCGACGGCGGGCTGCCTCCTGGGCCGGAGCTGGCATAGCTAGTGCTTTGGGAGCCGCGGGGCCCGCTCTACACGGCGGAGCAGCAGTGCTGGCGGGGCGGCTGTGGGTGGGGGCGCGGCATGTAAGCATAATTACAATATAAAATGTTATTGTTACAAATGTTTTTTATTATGCATTTATCATATTATAGTGTATTCTGTATTATTGTTGCAATGAATAAAATGTTTCTTTTATTTACGATATTTTTTTCTTCAATTTATTTGTGTCCTCCTTTTCATTGCAAAAAAGTTGGTCACCTTAAGTATAGTTTTACGGTCATAATCTGTGCAGTTTAGTATTTTATTTTATTTTTATTTTTTTACTTATTTTATAACTTGTAAGCCATCCAGAATTACCTTATAGGGGATAAAAATTTAATAAATAAATAAAATAACATTACTACAAGATATTGGCAATGTCTTACGCAGGAACCTCTGCTGAAATAGAAGGGAACAAGCCATGGAAAATGCACACTAAATTCCCCCCCCCCCCAATATTTTTAACTAAAAACGCAGGACAGCTTGACACAACAGAGTACAGAGAAGAGCAACAAAGATGATTAGGGGACTGGAGGCTAAAACATATAAGGAACGGTTGCTGGAATTGGGTATGTCTAGTTTAATGTCTAGTTTAATGAAAAGAAGGATGAGGGGGGACATTGTAGCCGTGTTCCAATATCTCAGGGGCTGCCCCAAAGAAGAGGGAGTCAAGCTATTCTCCAAAGCGCCTGAAGGCAGGACAAGAAGCAACGGATGGAAAATAATCAAGGAGAAAAGCAACCTAGAACTAAGAAGAAACTTTCTGACAGTTAGAACAATCAACCAGTGGAACAACCTGCCTCCAGAAGCGGTGAATGCTCCAACACTGGAAGTTTTTAAGAAAAAACTGGATAGCCATTTGTCTGAAATGGTATAGGGTTATCTGCCTGAGCAGGGGGTTGGATTTGATGATCTCCAAAGTCCCTTCCAACTTTATTATTATTATTATAACCCCCCCCCCAATTATGTCCGACACCATTTAAAAAAAAACAATTCATCTATCCCAAACAGGAAAACAATGGAATATCTCAGCCCACTGACATCAGCCACTGTTACTACACCCACTGGAGCCCATGCTCCACAGCCAGCCAAGCGTGGCCCACTGCCTCGCTATATCACTTGGCCACGATTTTGTAGCAAACTTCCTTCTCTCAATTTTTCCTTTCAAAGGAAGATAGCAGAATCCAATCATCCTTCTTTTTTAATCTGTCCAAACCTTCAAGATTATCATTATTTCCTGAGATTTAGGTTGTCATATTGCCTTTTATAGCAATGAATCAGCTTCTCTTCACTGGCCATTTTCAACATACTGGCTATCTAGAACTTAAATGCAGATTCACCATACAAACCAATTCTGTTTATAGCCTCAAGAGATATAGGGGATAGGTATATCTATGGTGGTCTAAGTAGAGACACATTCCCCCCCCCCCAAGAAATGTAACTGGGGGGGATTATGGATTACTCTCGTCTCATGTACATAAAATCAAAAGCCATGTGGCTTGGTGCATTTATGTCTGCTGTCCTAATTCTTTATGGCTGTGCTTAACAAAGAGCTGGAGACAAACTGCTTTTATTAATCTAATAAAAGGACCAACCAAGCAATTGCAATATACAGAGAGCTTCCCAACCAGGCACACTCCGCTCATCAGCCAAACCATCAAAAAGGCAGTCAGAAAACCAAAAGATCATTTTTAAAATACTTTCTTTCAGGGGGGAGGGAGGGAATAGCACAATTAGCAAACAGCTTGCCTTCAGAAGTTCTGGGTGCTTCATCATTGGAGGTATTTTTAAAAGAGTGGAGAGCCACGTCTGAAATGATATAGGGTTTCCTATTTGAGCAGGGGGCTGGACTAGAAGACCTCCAGGGTCCCTTCCAGATTCTATTCTATTCTATTCTGTTCTGTTGTTCTGTTCTACTCT